GTTTAGTAGTTAACATTTCTTAAACCCTTACTCCACCTCAGGTACTTTTGATGAACATTTTACAGCATTATTTTTTTTGATCTTCAAAATTCACTGGGTTAATTTTACTTGTCCCATTTTAAGGGGAGGACACTGAGGCTCCTGGAGATTAAATAACTTCTCAGGGTCCACAGCTGATCAGTAGTGATGTCAGGACCAGAACCTCAGTCTGAGTCCAAACTAGTGCCCATAACCATTAGTATGGTCTTGAGCAAGTTACTTGAAGTATTTGGTGGTTTCCCTATCTATAAAATGGAGATAATAGTAGTACTTACCTCATAGAGACATTATTAATTTTAGATATAAAAATGTATGACAAGCTCTTAGTATCAAGCCCAACACATAATAAGAGTCAAGAAACATTTGTTATTTTTATCAGCTTAAGCTCTCTGGTATTTCCTTTCTTGATTAGTTGGTTTATTTCAGAGACTATGTGTTAGAATAATTTTTAAATATAGGTTGTGAAGTCAGACTACCTGGGCTCATGTCCCAGCTCTGTGTGATCCTGAGGCTTTCTATGCCTTAATTTCCTCATCTGTAAAATGGGAATTATTATTGTGCTCACCTTATAGGGTGATTGTAAGGATTGCATAACAGAATCTGTATCAGGCACTTAACATGATGCTTAAAACATAGCCAGTAGTCAGCCTATTTAATTGGTCATAAACACAAAGTTCCTACTTTCAAGGACCTTGAAGGTGGTTGAGGTACAAACTGAGAATTTACCCTGCCTTTTGGGAGGTGTGAGATCAGTAGAATAGGGCAGGAATGGTCAGCCACAGGATGCTGCTGACTGCCTTGCCCTTCCTTCCTCCCAGAATGACCAGTGCCTGCCACCGGAAGTGTGTGCCTCCCCACTACAAGGAAGCAGAATTGTCCAAGGGCGAGTCTGTTTGCTTGGACCGGTGTGTCTCCAAGTACCTGGACATCCATGAGCGGATGGGCAAAAAGTTGACAGAGTTGTCTATGCAGGATGAAGAATTGATGAAGAGGGTGCAGCAAAGTTCTGGGCCTGCGTGAGGTCTCAGACAGTAGACACCCAAGGTGCACTGACCCTTCCCACTTGTCTAATAAAAGTGGCCCCATTGGGTGTCTTCTGTGAAGACTGCCAGGCCTAGGTTCTCCCTGGAGCATCTCCAGGGACCTAGACTATGGCAGAGCTCCCTCCTGGTCGAAGAAGGGGTATTTGTCACACTGGAATGTGGCCGTATGTTTGTGTATGTGTGTATGTATATATTAAAACTAGTTTGTTAACACCTACTTTGTGTAAAAGCAGTGTGCCTGGCACTTGGGAGTAAAGGCAGCAGACATGGCCTCTACCAGTAGGGGGAGTCTAATGTCGTGTTCCAAAGTATAGACAGCTTCTGTGGCTTAGGTTTGCACCTGGGGTCAGCCGCTTTGTGACCCTGAACTTGCCATTTCACTGTGCTTTAGCTTCCTCTGTAAAATGGGGATAACCATAGGGCTGTTAGGAAGATTAAATGAGTTATTATGTGTAAAGCATTTACAGTAATGACTAGGGCATAGGAAGTGCTCAATTTCACTATATATATTGAAATAGAACTTTAAGTGGAGGCTGGCAGGCATTTTCACAAGTGATAAAAAGGAATACTTAAAGGAGGAGTGAAAAGTAAATGGGATTTAAGAAGGAGGTAGCTAATCTCTTGGTTCTAAATGGCAATATCAAACTGTGAAGGGACCCAGTTTCTTGTGTGATATGTGATCCAGGGAGGCAGCTGGCTGATAACCGTGCCAGCCAGTGCTCACCTGGATCAGGGGCTGTGCTCCTCCGTATGAGATGCGCTCTGATCCACTGAGCTGGGCTAAGGGTCCTATTAGGAAATGTTTGCCAGAGGTCAAATAAGTGGAGCAGTAACAGAGGCCAGGGCTGACCGCTGCACTTGCTGTCTGGGGAGAGGCCACAACTTCAAATTCCTGTCCTGGCAAGTGCCCTGGAGCATTGTGCAGCCTTCAGGATGTATCGGTCACTCCTTCAGGTGGCATTTTCGTTGACACCAGCACCACCGTGACAGCGGTGTGTTCACAGTGGACCTTCATGGGTGGAGGGAGGTATGTGGAATGTGCCCTCACCAGGTCATTGGGCATGGAGTAAAAGAAACAGAATAGAGGCAGTGTTGGGGCTTAAAAGTGAAGATTTAAGCCAGATTGCCCGAGGTGAGAGTTTCTGGCTGTGAGATCCTGGGAGAGGCATTTATCTGTGCTGTGCCTCAGCTACACCATTTATAAATTGGTGATAGAGGTACCTACCTCATTGTGAAAATTAAGTGTTAAGAGTGCCTACCTCTGTCACAATAAGGACTAAATAATGCTAGCTCACTTGCTCTCTTTTTTAATTGCTTAGTTTGGTATGAGGAGACACCAGATAAATCCCCGGAAAACTTAAAACCGCTGTCCCTTGAGCCTAGCAGTGGGCAGAGTCCAGGCTCCCTGCCAGGTACTGAAGTGCCAGTTTGGGTCAACAGGTGGCACTGTGTGCTTACAGGATCGGCCCTGCTGTGAAAATTCGACACATGTATATGATTTGCCTCTTCTGTGCTGGCGTTGTGCTAGGAAGGGGGGAGAGGTAAGGAAAATTGGTATCACAGCTGCCCTCTTTAGCAAGGAACATCCGAAATTCTCTGACGGTGCATAGCCGGGACACCCAGAAGGGGTGGTAGGAGTGGAGAGGAGAGATTCCAGCTGGAAAAAAATAGCACTTGCGAAGGCTCTAAAGTGGCAGAAAGTGTGGTGCTTTCACGAGAGGAAGCCTCGCTGTGGCTGGAGCGCCGCGTGTGAAGGAGGGAATGGTGAGCGGTGAGACCGGCTGGGCAGGCGCAGCTCCAGAAGAGCCCGAGGAGCTGTGTGAAGGAGCTGGGATTCTCTCCTGGGAAGGGCGTCAGCAAGCTGTTGAAGGATGGAAACGCTGGCAGTGAAAATGACAGATGTGCATTTTAGAGGCTCCCTCCAGCTGCCAGCCAGGGGGATGGTGGTAGATGATGGTAGATAATGGATTAAGAGAAGAGAGCCAGCAAGAACAGCTTTTGAGTTGCTACAATGTGCTAATGTTTCAGTTAATCTCCATAACTCTGAGGCAGGTATGATTATTTCATAGATGAAGAAGCTGTGCTCTGAAAAATTAACTTGGGAAGGTCACACAACAAGCAAGTGGCAGAGCCATGATTCCAACTCATTCAGATACCAGAGCCTACTTAAAACAAAATTAAAGTATCATTGATATACAACCTTATAAAGGTTTCACATGAACAACATTGTGGTTTCAACATTCACTCATATCAAGTCCTCACCCCAGCCCATTGCAGTCACTGCCTGTTGGCATACTAATATGCTATAGAGTCATTACTTGTCTTTGTGCTGTACTGCCTTCCCCGCGACCTCCCTATATTGTGATTGCAAATTATAGTGCCCCTTAGTCCCTTTCTCCCTCCCTCCCTCCCCACCCACTTCCCACCCTCTCCCCACCCCCTCTCCTTTGGTAACCACTTCTCAGAGTCTATACCAGAGCCTACTTTTAACCACTCCTCTAAGATTGGGGGGGAATGTTCCTTAATGAGATAAATGTCAGCAATTTCTTATTTCATTCAATAGTATTTTTTGTACTGTTACTTGCAAAGAGCTATGGATAGCGTTCAAAGTGAATTAGTGAGGCCCCTGCCCTCAGTCACCGGGTTTGGGGGCCAGGAGGGTGGGTGTAGGAGAGAGGGAAGGAGCATTCCAAGGTGGTGGGAGGGGTTGGGCCTTTTCTGCCATAGAAGTCAAAGACTCTTAATCCTCATGAATTTTTGCTTGATGATCAGTTTTAAAATTCAAGAAATGTCTCATAAAAATCTGGGCATTGACTTCTTTTGAAAGTTTAGAAGATCTGACAAGTCAGCCTACATTCCTGCACGGCAGCAGTCTGCCGGAAGGTGGGCAGAGGCTTGGCTGTCCACCACAACTCCCACTGCTCATTTTTACCCTCATCATCATCTGCTTGACCTGTAGGCATTTGGTCTGCACCTTCTCCCCTGGGTTTTCAGGTGAGCCAGATGCCATGTGAGAAAACATGTTGTAAATGTACTGGCGTGGCAGCCTTTAAGGTGGCCCCCGAGGATCCTGTCTGCTGCTATGTGTCCCCGGTATGGCCCCCTTCCCTTGAGTGTGCACTAGACCTAGAGACTTGCTTCTAAAAACAACACAGCCAAGGTGATGGGATGCCACTTCTGAGGTTAAGGCACAGAAGATGGTAATGGCCATCTTATTCTCTCTTCTCGCTTGCTTACTCTGATGAAGCGAACTTCCACCTTGGGAGCTGCTCTGTGAGAGGCCCGTGAAGTAAGGACCTGAGGGCAGCCTCCAGCCAGTGTGGAACTGAATCCTGCCAATGACCACATGACTGAGCTCGGAAGCAGATCCTTCTTCCGTCAAGCTTTCAGATGATCACAGCCCTGGTCGACACTGTGCAGCCTTGTGAGAGACCCTGAGGCAGAGGACCCATCTAAGCTGCACCCTGATTCCTGATCTTGAGAAACTGAGCTAATAAATGTTGCTTTGAGCTACCACATTTTGGGGTAATTCGTTAGGCAGCAGTAGATAACCAATACACAGTTCTCACGACTGCTCACAGTCATCTGAGGCTCTGGTCATTCTACGCTGACACCTGGAATGGGCCAGGCACCATTTCTAGCATTTGGGAATATGTCAATGAACAAAATAGATAAAGATCCTTGCCCTGTTAGGCCTTGTATTCTAGTGGGGATGGTTTCGTTTAGTAGAAATCTGGGTTGGCAGTGCTGTTTTGAAAGAGAGAGCTCCTTCAGCTCCTGGGGAAAGATTCTTAATCTCTTTCAGGTCTTAGACCCCTTGAAATGCCAATAAAAGCCGTGGATGTTTCTTTAGAAAAATATACAATGTGCACAGAGTTTTGCATGGAATTTTAGGGATCTTCATAAGAAGTGTGGGATGACCTGAGGGGAGTCATATGACAAGCATTGTTTTAGGTGCTGGAGCAAAGAAAAACAACATAGAGAATCTAATGGGGGAGACATTAAAAAGCAGTTGCTTTTAGAGTTATGATAGGGCTACAGGAGATATTCAGGGAGCCATGGGGCTATATAAAAAGACTGTGCCCCCAAGTCTGGATGCACAGAGAGGCCTGTTCTCTGGAAAGAGGGAGGTGAGTGAGATCTTAAGGATTGGTGGGAATTTGCCAGGTAGGGGCTGGTGGGCAGTGAGTTCTGTGTTAAGTAGTGAGAGGACAGTGGTGAGGAAGGTAGGCACAGATGCCTGCACTCTGGCGCACACAGTCCACTAGAAGAAACAGACATGTTGTGATGAGTTTCATCAAAGGGAACTTTGAATGTGATGTAGGTCACATAGCAAGGGGATTTCCTGCTGGAATCAGGCAAGGAGCCTTCCCCAAGGAAGTGACCATTAAGTCAAAATCTGGTACTAGGTAGGCCAGGGCTGGGGAATGTTCCAGGTCCAGGAGGAACTTGGAGTGGGAGAACATGGGGTATTAATGGTCATGGAAAGGTCACCATGGGGTGACCTCCAGCCTAGATTAAAAAGTTCCAAAAAAGTTTTTCCAATATATTTGTTGAAAAAAAGCTATGTATAAATGGACCCACACAGTTCAAACCTGTGTTGTTTAAGGGTCATTTGATGTGATTTTTTTATTGCATCCTTGCCTCTTTCCCACTGGACTTTGTGTTCTCTGAGGGTAGGGTCTATATTATTCACCATTGAATCCCTGGTACTGGACACTTGCAAAGGTTTTCTTTTCGAGATATAACCCACATATTATAAAATTCACTCTTTGAAAGTGTAAAACTCAGTGGATTTTAGTATACTCACAAACTTGGTGACAATCATCACTGTCTGTACTTTTCTTTGCCTCAAGAAGAAACCCCATGCCCATTAGCAATCACTTCCCATTTTTCCCTTCCTCAGTCACTGGCAGCCCCTAATCTACTTTTGTGTCAGTGGATCTGCATATTCTGAGCATTACCCATAAATGGAATCATGATATGTGGCCTTTTGTGTCTATTTCTTTCACTGAGCATGTTTACAAGGCTCATCCATGGTATAGCATGTATCAGTACTCCATTCCTTTTTATGACCTAATAATATTACATTGTCTATTAGTGTACACATTTTGTTTATCCATAGGTTGATGGACTATTGGGTTGTTTGTACTTTTTGGCTATTATGAATAATACTGCTATGAACACTTGTGTTGTTTCTGGGTCCATAGATGGTCTTAATTCTATGGAGTGTATACCTAGGAGTGGAGTTGCTGGGTCACATGGTAACTCCATGTTAACTATTTGAGGAACTGCCAAATTGTTTTCTAAGGAGGTTACATCAATGCTTTACATTCCTTATGCAAAAGTTTATAGCAACTATTTGGCAGACTCAATAAATAATTTCTGACATAGCGGATAGGATACTAGTATTTCTAGCACTTAACAGACTAGAAGAGTAGAAGTTAGGAGCCTAACAGCCTTGGGCAAAGTTGCACAGCTAATCAGCTGCAGAGCCAGGCCCCACACCCAGCCTGCTTGACTACTGGGCCAGTACACTCAGGCTGCCCAGGAGTTGGCAGGAAATTCAGTGTGACATTAAGTTCAATTCAAGCTTTTGATAATGTCCAGGGAACAGAGCCTACGAAGGGATTCCTTTAAGAGCAGGAGAAGGGGTTGATAAATCGTATTGATTCTGATAGAGAGGACATCTCAGGTCGCCTTCTGTTTTTCCATTTTAACTGTTACAATGGCCTCCTAACTGCTTTAAGGTTAGGAGGTCTAAGGTTTCCACTGTATCCTCCTCCATTCTTTAAACACACAAAATGTATCTATCCCTATCCTTAAAAAAAGCAAACAAAGCCAAAGGAAACAAGAAAACAAAATCTGGGAGTTCCTGTCCCCTATCTCACAACATTGGAAGTCCTTGGCCTCTCAGACGTCATTCCAAACTGACCCGCCTACCTTTTTAGCTCCATTCTTCACCACTCCCTTTCATTTACTCAATAAATGATTACCAGGGGCTCTTTACATGCCAGGTCCTGGGCCAGGAACAGCCACACAAAACACATGCAACGTGGTATCTGCTCCCAAGAGATTTATATATTGTGGGGAGGGAGGCAGGCAACTAAATTGATTATTCTAAATCAGTCTGAGGGCTTCAGTGGAGGTGAGAATAGTATTTTGGGAGAGCTTTGGGAAGGGCCCCTGGACCAGCCTAGGAGACCAGACAGCTTCCAGAAAAAGGTGAAATTTGAAGTGAGCTGTAAAAGATGAGTACATCACAAATGAAGGGGATCTGTCATGCGCACAAGAAGGAACAGCAGGTGCAGAGGCAAGGAGGTGTGAGACCAGCCAGCTTTGCGTTTCATTCCACAGGTGTTTCCTGAGAGCCTCTTAGGTGCCAGGAGCTGGGGATACTGCAGTAAACACAACACACCAGGGCCGTGCCTTTATGGAGTTGACAGTTGATAGGGCGGGAAGGGGACATGGAAATGTGGGCTGGAGGTGAGGAAGAGCAAGCATTAGAGTCGTGGGGGTGCACAAACCCCTAGAGCCCATAGAGGAGGTCCACAAAAGCCTGGAACTTGAATGTAAATATGTGTGTGCTCATGTTCACACACGCATTTCCGTAAGGAGTGGACTCAACATTTTATTGTGTCCTCAGAGCGATCCATGATAGTCTTGGGTTAGAACCCTTATTCTAGGGCGCCTTGTGCTAAGGTGTTTGACCTTGCTTGGGAAGTTCTGGGAGCTAGTAATGAATTTTAAGAAATGAAACTGTCACATCCTGACACTGTGCCCCTGACAAAAGGGAACCTCTCATGCCTTTTCCGCTACTAAGCTTTTCCTTTTGCTGTTCCTCCCTGCCTGGAGGAGTGGAAAGGGCCACACTTAAAAGCAAGAGAGATCGGACTGAATCCTGCCTCGGGCTGAATCCTGCCTCCGCCCACCCAGTTCCAGCAGCTAGGGGCCAGTCTTCTCTCTCTGTGGTAAGTTGTGAAGTTTAAGTGAGACTAAGACGTTCTGAGGATTTAATGATTGTTTGGAAAGTGCCTGGCATACAGCAGCCACTCAGCAAATGTTGAGTTCCTCTCGGCTTGGTGGCTTAGCTGTTCAGAGATCCCCACTTGTCTGAGGTCCTCTTGAAACTCCCTGGGCAGTTGCTCACATTACTGCAGAGCTCTGTGAGTTGCTCAACGCACTGTACTAAACTCACATTTGTGCTATTTGCTTTTGTCATCAACTCAGTACTCCATATCATGTCCAAGTAGTGACACCTCCCCTCCAGTCTACAGTTGAGGAAACTAAAGCTCTGGGAGGCGATTTACCAGGAATCAGCGTCTGGAAGCATCCCATCACCAGAACTTCTGAATTACATCAATGAAAGCAGTAACAATAACAATTAACATTTATTATGCTTACTAAGTGCCCAGCTGTGTTGAGCCCTGTACCTGCATCGCAGCCCCCAATCCACCCCTGACCTCCACGCATGTAGGTAAGTACTATTGTTATCGTAATTTACAGAGGAGGAAGCCGAGGCTCAGAGATGTTAAGCAACGTGCCCAAGGTAAGCCAGGCCAGTCAGTTTCAAAGTCGAGACCTCCACCTAACTCCAAAGAAACCCGCGTCACTCTGTCGGAAAGCACTACTCCCAGCTGCAGAGTTCAAACCCCACCCAAGCCGGCCCTGCATCTGGACAGTTTGCTCCAGTCAGTCAGTCTGTTCTGACCAAGGATACAGAGGGTGCTGCCTGATTCTTCTGAGGGACCAAGGGCGAGGGTGAGGGTGGAAATTTTAGGTGCCGGGGCGTGAATCTGGGGACCAGAGGGCGAGTCACGTGCGGGTGAAACTTGACCTGGGGGGAGGGAAAGGGGAGGCAGCCCCCGCCCCTACTTCTAGGGGCAGCCCGGGACGGGTGTAAATACAGCTATTAGCTTCGTAAATGCGCTCCGTCCACGCCTCGCATCGCGGATCGGTGGCGGCCGGAGGGTTCCCATCTCTCCGACTTCTTCCGAGGGGGCAGAGGAGGCGAGAGCACCCGGCTGTCTGAACCTCCGAGGCCTCCCGGCCCGGCGCGCAGATAAGTCCCGGCGCCCGAGCCGGTCGGAACTGGGGCCGCGACCCCGGACGCCGAGAGTGGTCGCGCAGCCTGGGCACTGCGCTCCCCGAGGCGTCCGCGGCGGCAGGAGGCGCGTCTGCCCACCACCAGAGGTGGGCGGCGGGAGTGGTTGGGGGCCCCGGCTGCCGGTCCGCTGCGAGCTGCGCGGGCCGGCTCCGCAGACACCCGCAGGCACCCCGGGGACAACCCGTTACCTGGGCGCGTGGTCCCGCCACGCGTGTCCCACCCTCCGCCCTCCTCTGGCCCCTGGGACTCCTCTCTTCCTCTCGGCCTCCCTTGCTGCACTTCCTCTGTTTAGCTCAACACTCTGGTCGGAGTTCAACCCGACCTGCCAGAGCGCCTGGATCCAAAACCCCATTTCACAGATGCGAGTACTGAGGCTCCCCGCACAGCTCCCCGGCGGGGGAGGCGACTCGGGCTTTCCTCCCCTCCCCCCGCCCCTTCTCTCTTGCCCTTCCCTGTCCCTCTCCTCTCGGCTTTTCTCGGGTTCACCCCCGGCCGCCCCCTGCCCCTGAGCCGCTCGCGCCCCTTCTGCTGCCGCGGCGGTGGCGGCGGCCGCCCCGGCGGGGGGGGGCGTGGGCTTCTTCCCTCCCTCTGGTAAACACACCCGCCCGCCGGCCCGTCCGCCGCCACTGCCCTTATAAAGTCAGCGGCCGCTGGACTTCCTGCCGGAGCTCGAGCCCCCTTCCCGGGCCGGAGAGGGCGGGCTGGCCGGGAGGCGCGCAGCGGGGTGCCCCGCGCCCAGCAGAGTGAGTGTGGGGCGCCCGCGGCGCCGAAGGGCGCGCCCTGGGTCTCCTCTACGTGGCAGCTGTTGGCTAGCACCGAGAGACTTGCAGGGTCATGGGTCGCCTGCTGCGGAAAGGGGGAGGCTTGCGGTTGCCCAGCCCCAGAGGAGAGGAGTGGTCTTATGGGGGCCACAGGAAGCGGAGGGGTGGGGGGCGTCTTAGGCTAGTCTCTGACTTCCCCTTCCTCCCCCGCTTGTTTCTGGGGGTCCTTCCTAGCGCTGGAGGCGGGAGCCTGGCTAGCGGAGGCTTCAGAGCGTGCCTAGCCCCTCGCCGACCTTTGGGGACTTGGGGGAGTGCCAGGCTCTGCGCGTCCTGGTCTCGGTGGAAGAGCCCGGCAGCGCGCCAGGAAGCGGTTGCGTGCAGACAGGACCTTCGTTGTTTCCGATAGGGGCCCGGCGGGCGCCCAGCTCCGCGTGCGCCCCTGGCGCTAACGGTGCACCCAGGATCGGGCTGGCGGCTCTCTCTGAGAATCTCAGGGCTCTGGGGGCCTCCATGAAGGCCCCCTCTCAGGCAGGCTCGAGGGGTCACTGGAGCCTCCATGATGCAGGGCCCTTCCCAGGGGCCGCTGGGGGTCCCTTCGCTCAGCGCCCTGTTCCTGTGCAGGCTCTCGGCCAGCATGGCCCCCACGCTGCAGCAGGCGTACCGGAGGCGCTGGTGGATGGCCTGCACGGCTGTGCTGGAGAATCTCTTCTTCTCGGCTGTGCTCCTGGGCTGGGGCTCTCTGCTGATCATGCTCAAGAAGGAGGGCTTCTATTCCAGCATATGCCCAGGTATGCCCGAGAAGGGGCGAGCCCGGAGGGGAAAGCGGAAGCTGGAAAAGGTCAGGTGTCTGTAGGGACCCAAAGCAGGGCTGCTTAAGATAGAGCAGCACGGGCAGGGAGAGGGCAGCCTCATTTCTTGACCTCTTCAGACTTCATCTAGAGAATGGGTGGCGTTTATCCTATCCAGTCGTCACGGAATGTCAGGTATCCTGCTGGGCATCTAGATCCTGAGACTGACCCTCAAAGTCCTAAGCCTTTGGTAGCCTCAGGTCTAGAACAAGATGGAGATTTTTAGAAGCTCTGTACCTCACTGGGTGAGGGATTTCTTCCTAGCGCTCTCCTAAAGCGGAATAAGACAAAGAAGAGCCTACAAAGTGTACTTGAATGCAGCTCATGGGCGTACTCTTCCTTTTTCAGGACCTTTAAGCACTCAGGTCTTTAAATCACCCATTTGCACAAAGCCTACTTTCCACCAGGCCAGGCCTTGTGCAGGACTCCCATTTTCCATTTCAATCCCCTTGGCTTTGTGTGAGTGGCCCCATCTGGCAGGAATTCTAACACTCCTTGGGAGCCAGTACTGTCTGCAGGTGCCCTGGGGGCAGGACAAAGCCCTCCTGGTGTCTAGGACTCCAGCTCCGAGGTTTGATGGATATCACCCGTTTTTGGAAAGGAGAGAACTGTGCTGACAAGCTCAGTCTAAGGAGCAGGATGGATGTGGAGTTCAACCCTTCTCCCGCCCTCCTTTTCTTCCTCCCTGATCCATGTTATGGAACAGGCTTTGGAGGAAGGCCAGTTGGGTTAGAATCCCAGCTTCTATCATTTTTACCAGCTGGGTGACATTGACAAGTTCCTAAAACTTTGAGTTTCAACTGCCTGGACTGTATATAACGGGAAGAATAATAATATGTATCCTGTGCAGTGCTGTGAGTCAACAGGCGTCTTCCTGCACCTCACCTCAACTGCAGGCACCTGTCTTGGCTGTGGGAGAAAACCGTTGCCTTGGGGTGGGTGCCGGGGAGGTCTTGATCTCTGCTCTGAGTGGCACCTGCTCCACGGTGGGGGTTGCTCTGCCCCTGGCAGAGTTATCTGTGAGGAAGCAGCAGGTGGCACTGAGAGAAGGTTACTTGCTCACATTTCCCACACCAAATTACAGTATGGTGGGAGGTGGAGGAGGTAGAGATTAATGTTGGCAGCTGGCCTAGGCAGAGATTAATGTTGGCATCTGGCCTAGGGAGGGAGGTTGGGTCAGGAGGGGCAGGATTGGGATGAAATGATAGGCCTTCCCGGGTGGCTGAAAGAACCAAGGGCAGGGCTAGGATAGTTATAGGGGACTTGTTTGTAGGTGGGGTTGACAGATCCAGTCTCTGAGCTGTTTACCTTGGAGATGGGAAAGGACCTGCCCTTTACTGCCTGGTAGTCTTGAGGCCAGCCACTGACCATCTGGTAGCTGCTTCTTGCCTTTGCCACCTGTTTCTTTGTTTTTTTTTTAAATCAACTTTATTGAAAATTAATTCATATCACACATTTTGATGAGTCTTGACAAATTTATACACCTTGGAACCATCAGCACACTCAATCTTAAGAATATTTCCATCACCCCCAAAGCTTCTGCTTCCTTCTACTGTGCTTTAAAAAAATATGTATAAGAGCTTGAAGTATGTCACAGACCTTACAATTCACCTGTTGAAAGTATACAGCTTAATGGTTTTGAGTACATTGGGTTGTGCAACCATCACCACTATTCTAGAACATTTTCTTTACCCCAGAAAGTAACTCCCCATTAGCAGTGTCATATACATTTGTCTGTGACAAAAAAAACAGATTTGCCTATTAGGAACGTTTTATATGAATGGCATCTTATACTGTCTTTTGTGACAGGCCTTTTTACACTTAGCATGGCTGTTTTCAAGACTCATCCATGTTGTAGCATGTACCTACAGGACTTGGTTTCTTTCCATTCCTGAATAATACTCCATTGTGTGGATCTACCACATTTGATTTATCTGGTCATCAGCTGATAGACATTTGGGTTCCCACTTTTTGGCTATTCTGAATAATGCTCTAATGAACATTCATGTGCAAGTTTTTTGTGGATATATGCTTTCCTTCCTCTTAGGTAAATATCTAGGAGTGGAATCGGTGAGCCATAAGAGTAACTCTGTGTTTCACCTTTTGGGGAACCTCCAGACTGTTTTCCAAACTGGCTGCACCATTTTACATTCCCACCAGCAGTATATGAGGGTTTCAGTTTCTCCACATCCTTGCCAACACTTATTGTTGCTCTTCTTTTTTATTATAGTCCTTCTAGTGGATGCAAAGTATTAATCTTTTATGGATTTGGTTTGCATTTCCTTAATGGCTAATGATGGTGAGCGTCTTTTCATGCTTCTTGGTCAATGGTATGTCTTCTTTGAAGAAATGTCTGTTCAGACCTTTGCCCATTTTTAAATTATTTGCCTTTTTATTTTTGAGTTGTAAGAGATCTTTGTATTCTAGATACAAGTCCCTTATCAGATATATATGACTTGCAAAGGTTTTCTCTCACTGTAGATTGTCTTTTCACATTCTTTGTGGTGTCCTTTGGAGCACAAAAGTTCTTTTTTTTATTATTATTATTTATGTTTGGTTTATTTCACTCAACATGTTTTTGAGGTTCATCTTGGTGTTGTCCAGGGTTTTTTAAATTATTATTTTAGTAAGGTATTATTAATATACACTCTTATGAAGGTTTCACATGAAAAAACATTGTGGTTACTACATTCACCCATATTATCATGTCCTCTCCATACCCCATTGCAGTCACTGCCAGTCAGTGTAGTAAGATGCCACAGAGTCACTATTTGCCTTCTCTGTGCTACACTGTCTTCCTCATGATCCCCCTCACACCATGTGTGCCAATCATAATACCCCTCAATCCCCTTCTCCCTCCCTCCCCACCCACCCTCCCCTCCCGCTCCCCTTTGGTAACCGCTAGTTCCTTCTTGGAGTCTGTGAGTCTGTTGCTGTTTTGTTCCTTCAGTTTTGCTTCGTTGTTATACTTCACAAATGAGGGAAATCATTTGGTATTTGTCTTTCTCCACCTGGCTTATTTCACTGAGCATAATATCCTCTAGCTCCATCCATGTTGTTGCAAATGGTAGGATTTGTTTCTTTCTTATGGCTGAATAGTATTCCATTGTGTATATGTACCACATTTTCTTTATCCATTCATCTATTGATAGACAACTTAGGTTGCTTCCATATCTTGGCTATTGTAAATAGTGGTGCAATAAACATAGGGGTGCATATGTCTTTTTGAATCTGAGAAATTATATTCTTTGGGTAAATTCCTAGGAGTGGGATTCCCAGGTCAAATGGTAACTTCTATTTTTAGTTTTTTGAGGAACCTCCATATTGCTTTCCACAATGGTTGAACTAGCTTACGTTCCCACCAGCAGTGTAGGAGGGTTCCCCATTCTCTGCATCCTCAGCAGCATTTGTTGTTCTTAGTCTTTTCTGTGTTGGCCATCCTAACTGGTGTGAGGTGATATCTCATTGTGGTTTTAATTTGCATTTCCCTGATAATTAGCGATGTGGCACATCTTTTCATGTGCCTGTTGGCCATCTGCATTTCTTCTTTGGAGAATTGTCTGTTCATATCATCTGCCCATTTTTTAATTGGGTTATTTGCTTTTTGGTTGTTGAGGCGTGTGAGTTCTTTTTTGGATGTTAACCCTTTGTACAAAAGTTCTTAGTATTGATGAAGTCCAGTCTGTTTTTAGTTTTGCCATTTGTGTTTTGGGGTCATGTTTAAGAAGTCATTTCGCTGCCTATTCTAAGGTAGCAAAGATTTATGCCTGTGCTTTCTTTTGAGAGTTTTATAGTTTTAGCTCTTACATTGAGATGTTTGGGCCATTCAGAGTTAATATTTGTCTACAGTGTGAGGCGCCCTCCTGTTGTTTTCAGTTGCCCGGTGAGTCTGAGCCCGGTTGTCTGGGATCACTGGAGGAGACCAAAGGGAGCCCTCCTCCTTTTGTTAGAACTTACTTGTTCACTATTGGAAAGCAGGACGCATGTCTCTCTCCCGACCTCTTTTCATTCAAGGAACTCCAGCCGAAATCCTCGAGAGATCCGGCTCAGCGTGTGCTCTTCCCTGCTCTGCCTCAGCCATGCTGCCCTGTCCCAAGGACCTGCTTCCTGCTTCTTGAGGCCTCATTCGCTGTGATCCCAGCCTGCCAGGGGCCCAAGAATACAGACCAGTCATCTGTGTCTCCATCGTGTGTGGAAAGAGACAGGCAGCTTGGCTTCCAACTCTGTTCTGTGCTGCTTGGCTGATTTGATCCAGTTACATAACAGTATCTGAGTTACCCTATAGGTAAAATGGGATCAATGATCCTTACCTCATGGGGTGTTGAGAGAATAAACTTGAAATGAGAGCAGGCGTACAAAATTCAGACTGCATGTGGCAGTTGGTTGTTATTGTGTTCTGGACCCAGCTTTGCCATCATTTGCTGTGTGACCTTAGTCAAGTCACCACCCTCTCTGGAGCTCCACTTCTAAGTCTGTAAAATGAAGCGGACAACCTGTGAACAACTCACCTTCCTATGCCACAGAGCAAAGATGTGAGGATCAAATGTCACTTAACAAATGTGGAGCTCATTATTGAGGTGCTCATTAGTGTCAGCTTTGGGGTTCCCTGGCCATACCCTCTGTCTTCTCTGGTTTCTGCTCTCTCTTGAGGTATGCCCGGGGGTAGGTGGTTGATCCACCTGTAGGGACATCGCAACAGAAAAGGGCTCTGTAACTCAGAATTTAGGCAGAGACAATTCATTTTATCACATGCTACTGTATAATAGAGCATCAGTGCCAAAATAAAAAAAAATGGCTTAAGTTCATTAAGCATTTACCATTTGTTAGATCTTGTGTCCTCATACCAAATCTGATATAGGTATTGTTGTTAACCACATTGGATAGAAAAGAAAGCTGAGACCTGATCAGAGAGGCTAAGTAACTTGACTGATGTCCCATGGCTAATAAATAAGGAGCTGAGTGAGGATTCAACCCAGATCTAATTCTGGGAAAAGTGTGGGTGTCCTTGACCTCCTTCAGCTTAGTGTTCTCCTGGGGGAGTCCAGCCATTAGCAAGACCACCAGCTAGAGCTCAATCCTACCAGTGTTTTGCTGAACATGACTATGTTAACTGTAGAAAGTAAAGCGTTAGGAGGGGGAGGAAGGGCTCACTGACGTGGGAGAAAAAAGAAGTGGGGTCTTGTGAGCGTTCATGTGTGCAGCAGTCCTACCACCAGCCTCTTCAGTGGTTGCAACCACTATCCCCATTTCACAGATGAGATGACAGCCCCAGCATTTCAGCAGCACCCCTACTGGAGCCAGGATTTGAACGTCCTCTGACTGCAGAGGTGGAATGCTTAACCATGATCCTGTTTTCCAGTATTTCTTAGACCTAGACGTTGGTAGTTCACCTTCATGATTTTAACATTTCTGTGTGTCATAGGTACTATAATTTACTTAAAATGTCCTTTTAAATCAACCCACTTAAAAAAATTAGCCTCCTTAAAAAGTGTAATATCCTCGGATCGTGGGTTTGATGTTACTTACACACACATGCACATACATCATACACATATGTTTCTAACATATGTACACGTGTATGCAAATATATGTTCTAATATGTATATATATGTATGTGTGTATATTTATGATACACATTCAAATAACTAATAACTATGAAACATCAAAAAACCATCCCATGTACGCCCTATACCCATCTTGAGTCCCCCACATGCTATGCACACCACATTTTGGGAAACACTTTTTTCTAAGGCTTCAACTCCATCTCTAGCTTATCAAATACAGTTGCCCTGCCCTACCCGATGCCTCACGTTGCTTGTCTATGAAAGTGGGGTGCTTGGATTTCAGAGACCTCTGTTGTAATTGACATGGATGGAGGTCTAAGAGGTCTTTGCGTCTTAGGCTGGCTTTCCCCTTGGTTCAGAAGTCTGGCGTTATCCAACCACTCTGAGTGATCAGACTCTGAAACTAGCTCATATTGATCAAATTCACAAGAGGCCAGTCAATATACTAGAGGAATGAACGCATTAACTGACCTTGAGTTATTAGCATTGCACTGGGCTGAAATTCTCCATCAGTGGAAGGACACATTTCCCTGCCAGCACTGCCTGGGAAACTTACGAAGCTGCTGTTTTCCCTGTGGTGCAACAGAAAAGTGCTGGCTTTGGAGATTGTCCTGAGTTTGAATCTGAGCCTGCCTGTAAGAAACTTATAACTGAGTTGCTTTGCTTCTCAGAGCCTCATTGCCTAGGAAATGGGGATCATTATACTTGCTCTGTAGGGTTGTTGCAAGGATTAAGTGAGATTCTATATGAAAAAGCCTGGCACAAAGTAAACGTTAATCATTGAGAGCTAGTGGGGTTGTTTGTGAGAGAAAGTGTCATTTGATGGTGAAGGATGTAGAGTAGGGATGGTGTCTAATTCAGAGGCTGCGAACTTGAATGCCATTGGGGTGGGGAGTGGTGCAGGCAGTTAATAAAAATTGGGCAAAGCAGGGCAGGTGTAAGATGGAAAATACCTGGGAGCTGAAAGAATGCTGGGGACTTGGCCCATGCGGCTGGTTGGCAGGTGAGGTAGCCGGCTATGGGGGCTGGAGATCAGAGGTTGGCACTGCACGGGGAGGGGAGGCCCAGATTGTTCACAGGGTGACCTGGAGATGGCAAGCCCTGGCAAAAAGGTTGACCTCCACCCAGCTCCAGTAGTGGCCAGGTCTTTGACTTCTTACAGAGAAACCAGATTTTTATGTGATTACTCCTGACTGTAAGCTGGCACCTAATTAAAATTTGCAAGCCAAGCAAAGCATGTGTGTGAGCCATTGCTGGCCACCTCTTTGCAGCCTCTGGCCTAAGTCATCTTTCCATTTCTTCTGGCCTTACCCACCATGTCCCAGTGCAGTGCTTGACAAACAGCAGATGTCCAGTAAGTGTGTGTAGATTAAATAAACAGATGTAGACAAACCAGGATTGGAAATAAACATGATAAAAAAGAACACTAAATGATGGGGCTAGCCTGAATCCCAAGGGCTCTGTGGTCTAAAGCCCTACCTGTTTGTTTTCAGGTGCCTGAGCCTACTTCCCAGCTTCCGTGGCATCTGGTACCTTCCGATGGGAAACTGCCCATTGCTCAGCATGCTTCCCTGGCTGCCAGCCCTCATTATCTGAAAATTCTTCCTTATGTTAACATACGGGTCACCTCACTCTTCTGCTGCCTGCCCTTCGGATATCTGAAGTCAGGTGTCCTGGTCACCATTGAGGGCAGGTGCTTCCCCCTTCCCAGCATTCAGGCACTGTCACGTTCTCCTGTTTTGTTCTCTTCACAGCACCTGTCAGTCTTTAAGTCAGTGTCCATTTGTTCCCTTGTTTATTATCTAATATAAGCCCATGAGAGCAGAGAGCTTCCTGCCTCACTCAGTGGGGTCCCAGAACCTAGACAAGAGGCTTACTACATCGTTACCCTCTAGGGGACCATCATCTACTCCTTCCTTAACTAATTCAGGAGCATTTTTTATGGGTGAATCCCTGTGCAAAACTCTCTGCTCACCTCCAGTGAATCTCCCATGGAGCCAGTGGTTTAGGCATTCTCTGTTCCCTTTTACAGGCAGGTGCCTGAGGTTCAAGGAGAGGGAGTTACTTGTTACACAGCTAGTAAGGGTGATGGTGGGAATTCAGACCCTGGTCTGTCTTTATTTCAGGGGCATCCTGAGTTTGCCCCTGGCAGTGATGCCTAAGTAGCAAATGGGAGGCAAGGGGAGCAGCCTTCTCATGACCCACTGAGGACTGAGTAAAGTGACATCATGTCCCGCCCCCATGACTTAGCCTTTTTATTAACTTGTCACAACTCCAAGGTGGCAGTTAACCTTGAGGACAAGTCCTCCAGGTGGATTTATAAAGGGTACTGGGGGCCAGTCATAATTCTATGCCTCAGTTTCCTCATCTGAAGCATTGGGATACTTTATTAGGTGACTCATGGGGTTGGCATGCATGAATTAATACAGTGAATGTTGAGAACAGTGTCTACAACATAGTTAAGTGCTCAGTAAATATTGGCTATTTTAGCAGAATGCCATTTATGGGGAATATGTCTTCTAAGTTTTAAGTGAATTCCTGTTACACCAATTGAGTACCACTCACTAATAACTTTGTACCCAGATTTGAGGGTGCTTCCTATTGGGGGGTCTACAAACCCCCTAAGCCTGGGTACGGAGTGAGTATTATAGCTTTGTGAATACTTTGATGTCCATTATCAAGTTCGAGCTAGTTGAGGCCTCAGATTGGGTGTATGACTCTTGCTGGGCCAGATACTAATTGCTGCCATTTATGGAGCCCCCTCCCCACCAGAGTAGATATGACTCTAGGCCACCCCCAAAGTCACCTGGTTGGCTGTGATTCAGAAGCGTGGATTTGCGTGCAGGACCCTGATCCCAGGCTGATCTCTTCTACGCCCAGCTGCTCCTGCTGTCATGTGCTGAGCCCTCCCTTTCCCCTCCTCAGCTGAGAACATCACCAACACCACCAAGGATGAGCAGCCCTGGTGGCCGAGCTGTGACCGCCAGGAAGAGATGCTCAACTTGGGCTTCACCATCGGCTCCTTTGTGCTCAGTGCCACCACCCTGCCGCTGGGGATCCTCATGGACCGCTTTGGCCCTCGGCCCACACGGCTGGTTGGCAGGTGAGGTGGCCAGCTGTGGGGGCTGGAGGTCACATGTTGGCACTGCACGGGGAGGGGAGGCCCAGATTGTTCACAGGTCAATTCCTCCTCCTTCTCTGGGTCTCCACAGTGCCAGCTTCGCTGCGTCCTGCACCCTCATGGCCCTGGCCTCTCGGAACACCAAAGGTGAGATGTCTGGCCCCTTGTGCCCCCACAAGAAAAGAATGGGTGGGATGAACATGGATGTGCAGCCCAGGTCCTGCCCTTGGCCTCCCTGGGCTCCCCAGGTGCCATCATGTACCCCTCTCCTTCCCAGTTCTGTCTCCATTGATATTCCTGGCACTGTCCCTGAATGGCTTTGGTGGCATCTGCCTAACATTCTCTTCACTCACGGTGAGTATGACAGGCCCTGGCTTGACAGCAGGGCACTCGGGGTGGGGGGTGTGAAGCGGGAGAGGGGCCAGTAGATGCAGAGAACGTGTGTGTGTATGTGTGTGAGGCTGTGTTCCTGTGGATGACACCATGTGTGTCAGAGTATGCGTGTGTGCGCTGAGCACATACTGTCTACTGAGCTCGTTCTAGGCACTGGGGCTACAGCACAAACAGAACTGACAACTTCCTCACTGCTTCCTGGAGCTTGCACTCTCCAGGTGGGGAACCAGGTGGCCCCAAAACAAGTAAACTCAGAAATTATGTCAGGAGTTGTAAATGCCGGAAAGAAAGTGAGCTTGGGTAATGGGATTGATAGTAACAGAGAGGGAGCAGCTTGCGAGCAGCTTGCGCTGGTGTATTTGTGATGCTGTCCACCGGAAAGAGTATGAGTAGGTAGATATTTGTGAGTTATTAGATTGAACTGTATTAGATTGAACAGGCTTTTCACAGGGTTCGTCCTCTTACATATGTGAGTTCTGTGTGATACTCCAAGCGTGTGTGT